ATTCTGACGTTGTGGGGTGGAACACTCTGTAGACATCTACTAAGTCTATTTGTTCAGAAGTTTGATTGAGTTCTAATATGTCGTTGATTTTTTGTCTAGTTGATCTGTTTTATTGTGACAATGGGATATTGAAATCCCACAATACAATTGTATTAGTGCTTATTTGATTTTTCATTCCCATTAATATTTGTTTTATAAAGTTGGGTGCACTGGTATTTGTTGCATATATATTTATGACTGTTTATCTCATCCTCTTGGATTGTTCCCTTTACAAGGATCTAGTGACCTTCCTTAGCTTCCTTAATTACTTTTGGCTTGAAATTCACTTTGTCTGCAAATAGAATAACTACTCCTGCTTTTTTTTTGATTTCCTGTTGCCTGGAGTATTGCTTTCCATCCTTTGACTTTCAGTCTATGAATTTCTTTTTAAATTAAATGTGTTTCTTGTATGCAGCATATTGTTGAATCATGCTTCTTGATCCATTCTGCCAGTCTGTGTCTTTTTATTGGTGAATTGAGGCCACTGACATTAATGGTTGTAACTGATATGTATTGACTTATCCTTGTTATGTTATTTTCCTATTGTTAGCAACCCCTCTTTTTTTCCTCCCTCCCTCTGTTTACTTGTTTGCCTGGCCTGGTGGATTCCTTCTGTTGGGGTTTATAGGGTTGTTGTCCTTGTTATCTTTTTCTAAAATGTCCTTCAAAACACTTTGGAGTGCTTGTTTGGTATTCAGAAATTTCCTCAGATATTCTTGTCCTGAAGCATCTTATTTCTCCATCAACTTTGAAAGATAGTTTTGTGTGATACATCAATTTTGGTTAAAGATTGTTTTCCTTTAGAACTTGAAGTATTTCACTCCAAGCTCTTCTTCACTTGAGGGTTGGTGTGAAGTCAACTGTGATTCTGAAGGGCTTCCTTCAGAGGTGATTTGTTTCTTTTCCATAACAGCTTTTAAGAGTCTATTCGTGTATTGATTTTCTGGAATCTTGACTATGGTGTGCTTGAATATAGATTTTTTTATTATGGCTAATTGGAATTCTATATGCCTCATTTGTCTGTATATCAAATTCTTCTTCCCTACCAGGGAAGTTTTCTGCCATGATGTTTGTGAACAGTTGGTTTTATATCATTTGTGCTATCTCCTGCTTTTTCACTGACTCCAGCCACTCTTAAGTTATTTTTCTTTGCCTCATCCTGCAGCTGGCTTATTGATTTCTCATGGTCATTTGCTTTTTTACAGAAATCTTTCTTTTCATGATCACTAACTGCAAGCCTGTCTTTTATACCTGAGATCCTGTCCTCACATTGGCTTAATCTTCTGTGAATACTTTCAGTGGAATTTTTATTCTCCTGGATATCTTCTTGAATCTGTCATATGGATTCCATTTCTTTCCTATGCTGAGCATTCATGGCTTCCATAATTTTCTTAAACTCCTCTATTTTTTTGCCTGTATCTACTCTAGAGTGGTGAAGAATGATTTTCCTTGGGTATATCATCTCTGCTGTTAACCTGAGAAATTATTTCTAATTTGATTTTTTTTCTAGAGCCTCATTCAATTATTTTCTTGTTATCACTTTGCAAAGGCCAGGTTGGTGGCTTTCAGATTGCCCTACCTCACTGACCTGTTAGTTTGCATTTGGCAGACTGGGTGTCTGGGGTTGCATCTTGTTTAAGTGTCTTCTCATTTTCTTTTTTGTAAAGTTTACAGGGTGATGTTTATAAATTGCCTATGGTGGGTTGCTTTATTGCTGGAGTTTAGAACCCTTAGGAAATGACTGCTTCTCTGAGTTATCTTTCAGGTGTAGCTGGTTTTTGGATTTTGAGTGTTACAAGATCCTACCTCTTCAATTTATTGGGGATGAGAAGTTGCTTCCTGTTTTGCCCAGCCCTTGGTTCTCTGGCACAGTGCCACAATATTTTCTGCAACCCTTAGTCAATCTCGGTCTTGGAATACCAGGAAGAACACCTGTTTAGAACACTTATGTCACTTTTGGCTATAGTGGTACCAATGACAATAGCACCAAACACAGGCTAGAAAATGACAAATTGAGTTAACCATTTTTTTTTTTTTTTTGGTTTTTCTCTGGTACCGGGAACCGAACTCACGACCTTGCGCTTGCCAGGCAGGCACTTTTGCCGCTGAGCTAAATCCCCAGCCCCTGAGTTAACCATTAATTTTCCACCTTTAATCATGTGAACTAGGTTTATGGTTATATATCAAAATCTAAAACAAACCAGAAAATTATATGCAGTATACAAGTTCTTAATATGTCAGTTTTGCTCTCAGGGGTTAAAATTTAGAATGGGTTAGGGAGAAAAGGAGAAGTGGAAGAAGAAGAAGAGATTAGAAGTAAGGATGGAGGACCAAGGGGGATCATGCTTACTTTGGGAAACTGGTGCAGAAGACTAGAGGGAAAGAGAGAAGAAAGAGATAAAAAGAACAACAGAATAACAACTACAAAGCAGCTAGAAACCATGTTATATTCATATAAAAACAAGATCAAACAATGAAGAAGAAAAAAACAAAGACAAAACCACCACCACCACAACAACAAAAACAAATGAGAGAAAGAGAAAAAAAAGATAGAAAAAAGTCCACTTCCAGGTTTGTCTCTGCTATCACTGGTAGACAACATGTGGAGACAGAGTCCCAACCCATCTTTTCTTCATTTTCAATCAGTTTTTAGAAACTAAACTTCAGGGAGAAATATGAAGATTCTTATTCTATTCAGATCTGTCTCCCTGTATTGAGCACTTTGCATAAACTATCTCATTTTATTATTGAAACACTATTCATGATACTGTTGTCCTCATTTTATAGATTAGGAAATTGAAGTTCAGAGAGTTCAAATTACCCAATCATTGTATCTCCTCTTCATTTTATAAAAATAGGCATTTTTTTTTTATCTGTGAGGAAAGTATATATGTATATGCCTAGAATATTCCTGTATCTATGTGGTTAAAAAAAACTCCCAATTCAAATATATTTACTGGCCATTTTTAAAATACTTTTTATGTAGTCCATCCACATTTTTTCATAAACTTAACATATTCATTTTAGAGGATACTTGCCCTCCAGATGGAGAAATAAATTTAACTTTCAAGATGGAGAAGCCAGAGGCATACAGAAATTGGTGTGTATTTTTAAAAGACTGCTAATTATAAGGACTTCTCAAATCTAAAAGTTCTTTCCTTTGGTATAAGCCATTGATTTATGAAACATGGTGTCTTACATTAAAGGTAGAGTTTTGGATGAATTGCTTGAAGCTCATGATTTTCTGCAAAAGCATTTAAGGGGAGGATAACTATGAAGTTCTAGCTGTTGCATATCAGAATAATAGATCAATAAGGGAGTATGAGAGCAGTAATGTTTTAAATAATTAGCACACAGGAAAAAAGAGTTGGAGGTAATAGAAGACAACACACATACACATATTGTGATATACACTGTATACCTGTAGCATATAAATAGATGCCTTTTGGGCAATTGATTCCAGTAACTCCATTTATGCATTTTCTGGCCATATATATTTAAAGAATTGGTTTGCTATTTAATATCTATTAAACATATAAAATGGATATGCATTGTACTCATTGATATGGATATAATTAAACAGAAAAGATGGTTGTGGTCCTCAAGGTCTGCCAGCATACTGTGGGAAAAATGTTATTGCAGTCTTGTGGTAAAATAGAAGAGACATGCAGGGACAGTTTCATGCTCCCAGAGGGGATATGTCATGGAAGACTGTCTGGAGAGGGTGAGGTGTGACCTGAATCTTGAAGAGCAAGCAGAAGTTAGTCAAAAGGAAATGGGAGAAGCAGAGGTCCTTCCAGGACATAACATGAATGAGCCAGAAACTTGAAACAGTGATGTGTGCAGTATGGGACTGTTGATGTACAGAAATCTCCCCTTAATGTTTTATACTTCCTATGGTTTTAGTTACCTGTGGTCAAACAAGATCCAAAAATACTAGATGGAAAGTTTCAGAAATTCATGAGTTAAATATTTTTTTATTATAGTATATTATTACATGTAATTGTGCTAATTTATTGTTAGTTATTGTTACTCTCTTCCTTGCCTAATTTATAAATTAAGCTATATCATAGTTATGCATGTGTTGGGAAGAACATAATGTATATAGGGTTCAACACTCTGCACTTGCCGGTCTCAGTGGGTCCCTTCTTGGTCGCCAGTGCATCCTCTGAGGATAAGGGAAGACTATTGTACAATGGGGGGGAGATGAGAGGTGAGGGTACAGAGGCCGCTCTAAGATAGCTAACTAGAGTTTATAGTGCTGGTGAGAGTTTATGCTTCCAGTAACAATGAGTCTTTGCACGGTTTAAAGCATGGGAGTGGGTAGGTCAGATTTGTATCTTAGTAGATCATTTTAGCAGCTGTGTAAAGAATAGTTTTTAGATGGCCAGAATCAGAGTTGGGTACCCAGTCAAGAGGCCTTTGTAGAGATGTAACTAAGAGGTGCTGAGGGTTTAAACCAGTGCTTTGGGTGGAAACTGGATAATTTTGGTGGAGGACTTAAGATTTGTTTAGGAGATGTCATTGGTAAGACTGTGCTTATTTGGATGTTGGTGAATGGATCAGAATTTCTCAGACTTTGAACCTGGGTGATGGCATGCAGTGGGAAAAGCCAGAAACCTGAGGTGTAGCATGAACAGGAACTGACCTAGAAGGTTGGAGGGATGGTCAAACTGTTCCTCAGTATGTGTATCACAGTCTGCAACTTGGGAAAGCAGTATCTGGTGACTTGTTTGAGAAATGTCAACTTGCAGGTACACAGAGCTGAGTATACGGCTTCTTCGGTGTAATCGTGTGTTGGGTTGCAACCGCCCCTTTATCCTGGAGCAAACGTTTGTATCTCCAAAACAGAAGCAGTCATTAATATTATACCTCCTGTTTTTAACAACAGAATGACCTTATAGAATAGGAAGCACTCTAAGAAAAATGCAAGTAACCAAAGGGTGGTTGTTTTCTTCCAGGGCTCAGTGGACATGCCTGCCCCAGAGGAAGACAGCTGCAGCTGACGTCGCTTTTTAAGGATCCTGCCTCTGCAGCTTTGTCTGGTTCAAAATGGCAGAGAAGGCTCCACCAGGCTTAAATAGGAAGACTTCAAGGTCGACGCTTTCTCTCCCTCCAGAACCTGTGGACATTATCAGAAGCAAAACGTGCTCACGGAGAGTGAAGATCAACGTGGGGGGCCTCAACCACGAAGTGCTGTGGAGAACGCTGGACAGGCTGCCCAGGACGCGGCTGGGGAAGCTGCGGGACTGCAACACGCACGAGAGCCTCCTGGAGGTGTGCGATGACTACAATCTCAACGAGAATGAGTATTTCTTTGATCGACATCCTGGAGCCTTCACGTCCATTTTAAATTTCTACCGGACAGGGAAACTGCACATGATGGAAGAAATGTGCGCCCTCTCTTTTGGCCAAGAGCTTGATTACTGGGGGATCGACGAGATCTACTTAGAGTCCTGCTGCCAAGCCAGATACCACCAGAAGAAAGAACAGATGAACGAAGAACTGAGGCGGGAGGCAGAGACCATGCGCGAGCGAGAGGGAGAAGAGTTTGATAATACCTGCTGCCCCGAGAAACGGAAGAAACTTTGGGACTTGCTGGAGAAACCCAACTCATCAGTGGCCGCAAAGGTATGGAAATCACGGTATTGGTAGAAAGGTGGTACCTACATTCCAAAGGATATGGTTTTCTCCATTGCTTTCCTAAGATAGAACCAGACATGGCTGCATGGACTATATGGTGAAAAGTTCTTTCCAACATCTTACTTAGTCAAATGTACCATTCTTCCTGTGTGCTGCCGTAAGGTGGTATTATGTTTGTGGATTTAATTATCTGTAGGAACAGGCCTGGGCAGCAGAGTACAGAAGACAGTTCTGGTGCCAAACGGTGTTGGTGACTGGTGTCGGTTTGGAGGATGAGGCGAAAGCTCATACCCATCTTCCCTAGCTCATACCCATCAGGCACAGTCCTGCACAAGAGCTAGGCCTGGGCACCATCTTGCAGAAAGGGAAAGTACCACCCTTAGCAAGAGAGTGGGTGCTTTCTGGCATGGTTTTATGGAAAGAGAGGAAAAGAGAGGAAAGCATGCCTGTCCCCAGTGGCTCAGAGGGTTGGGAGACCAGGCACGCAGAGGAAAGTTGTCTTATTCAGCCGTGTAATGAATAAGTCGATGTTCCGGATGCATCCATTTGTCTCTCCTCATGAGGGATACTTTAGCAATGCTGTGTCTGACTGTGGATGCCTATTGTTTTTATATTTGAAGCATTACCACATCCCGGAGTTCATAAAGTACTCTCTAGAAATGAAGTTAAGTTCATATTTTTCCATTGTGCCTGTATAGATCTAAGTCTCAGACTAAATTTTTGGTCACACATTTCAATATTTAATTCAACCGCATGATCTTGTTTATCTAATTTTATCTAGAGCATTGGGGGTTAGTGCAAGCTGAACTTCACTCCATATATTTAGTTCTGCATTGCAGGATGAATGGTAATTTAAAAAGTCAAAAGAGTCATCTTTAGCTGCAGGAGCCTTGTATCGATGTTTCTTGCATAATACAGGAAATGGTATATGGAATGGAGAAGGGAAGAATGTGTCATCGTATGAATTCTTTTGATTACTTACAGTTTTTTTTCAGATATCTTCTCCCTTTTAACAATAATGGTTTGAAAATAATAGACCATCTGAGCCTTTTAACTAGAAATTATGATTCTACATGATAATCCTGAACATAAATTATCATAGAATACAGATGTTCATAAAACTGTTTCTTGTGTTATTTGATATGTCTGGTTTTGTTTCTGATTGACTTCTAAATGAATTTTGTTTTCTGGCCAGGACTGGCACCTAAATGAAATAAAATGTATTTCTCTTGTGCATAATGAAGAAATACGTATTTTGTGCCAATGAAGATTTAAACTAGGTAGTTTCACAGTTATAAATCAATCCTTTGTCTATATTTGTTTTATTGGTAAGGGAAAGAGGTTGCAGCATTTGTGGGGTTTTGGGGAAAGACTGTTGCTTTTTCCTATGTCAAGTGCTGACTTACATATTTGAGTTATGGCTAAAAATATGGAGTGAATTTCGAAAGTGAATGAGATAGACTCTAGATTTAAAAATGAGTATTGTGGGTGTTAAAGTAACTTCTTTAAGATTTGAGGCAACTGAAGAAATAAACTGTTGCTCAGCCAAAAGTGCCAGAAGGATTTAGCCAATGATAGAAAAATAAGCAGCAAATTCAGATAAAATTCAAAGTTTAATGTGACTTATTTGTTCATAAAACATTATTAACATGTATGTAAAGCCAGATATTGCCTCAGAAAAATTTTTCAGAAGTATATGAATTTTTTTCTGATGAATTTTCAGTAAGACTCCAGAATAGGGTCAATAACCTGATTTCCCAGTAGGGTGGTATATTTAATCTCTACATTTTAGAAAGCAGCGGCCATGCCTTGAAGTCTTAAGAGTGTGATGTTGATAATGACCTATTCTAATATGCCATTATATAACTCTGTGCATCAGACGGATTATTTAAACTTGCTTCAAATTATATATACAGATAAGATTTCTGCCCACAACAGCAGCTAAGGACAGTGTTTTTGGAAGTTTCTATGTAGTTATAAATAGTAAATTTGTCTCCCCGTTATTAATGAAGCTAAATGACTCTTTGTTACCTTCGGTAGATTCTTTACTAAATGTTCAGAAAGTATTTATGTTTGTTTATTTAGATGTCTACACTACCCTCTGAGTGGTGCGGAATTACGGAAGTTATTTTCCTTTGATTATATAGTAGATTGGTGAAAATATTGCTCATTTGTCTGAGGCTTGGAGCCTTTTAAATGCTCTGTATGATGTCATATATAAACTACTACCTTTCCCTTCCTGCTTCTCAAATCAGGTAACTTGTTTTCTGGAGTAAACCTTGGTAAGGAGAGGGTTAATGCAGGTATGTGGGAATATGGTATTTTTATAATTTAAAAAGAAGTAGGTTTATTACTTTATTACTGCTGCAACAGGATGATACTCTAGCCCTTACTGTGTGTACTTTACATTGTGGGTACATCAGGCTCTTACATATGCATGAAGCCCTTGTGTAGGCATGTGTGGAATGTCTGTGTTCTTCCTTACTGGCTTAGGAGGTGAAGTATCTTTGCAGGAAGATGCCGGCTCACCTTGCTTTGTCCAAGAATGCTTGTTCAGTTTGGTTATTCAATTGAACATGTATTCTACATGTGCTCTACAGTGTACACATGAAAGTAGACACTTAGGAAGACACTCCCTTCTCCCCAGAATTAAAAATAATATTCTGTTATTCTGTTATTTTAAATAAGGACTTCATATCACTGAAAATACTTGTTCTTTCTCTTTGGGTTTCTCTATTTTTCTAATATACCTATAATATTTCTGTAACAGAGAAAGTATAAATGTTGTAAGACCATTTGTCACATTCCTGACTTGAAGGAATATTCTATCAGACAGTTCATAAGTTAGGTACTTACTTTCTGGTATAGCATATACTCAGTAACTAATTAAGTGATAATTGCTCAGCTGGTGTCATGTGTATCCATATAATTATTGCACAAAATTACTGCAAGGCCTGTTGACCTGTCATACTGTTTCCGGATATGACCCTGACAGCAACTCAGTTGTAGAGAACTGGCTCCCTGGTGTCACAAAGAAGAGCTACTTTAATTGAATTTTCTGGTGCATTAATAACTGGAAAAAAAAAACCCAAAACAAGACTTAAGAATGTGGTATATTTGAAATGTCTATATTTGACAAATTAGTATGTGTGTACATACACAGAAGACTATGAAATATAATTGTACTTTCCACAAACTCTGACAGGATTAATGTAAATTGTTATTTCTTAGTTCTCAAGGGTATGGATGATCTAGTGTGGGATACAAGTTCATGTCTGTAAGATAGATGTTGTCTTCTTTCAGTCCTGTCAGTGCACTCGGTGCTTATGTATACTCTCATGTCAACAGTTGAAATCTGACGCTATTATAAGTATGTGACCTGGCAGCGTGGGGCTGGGGATGGCTGGAACAGCACTCTGGAGTACCACCACGAGGGGCTGCTTGCCCTGGTATCTGTCACAGGACTGTGCAAGGCCAGAGGATGGGCTTAACTGGCCACTGTTTCCTTGGCAGTGACTTGGAACTAGAGTTGGGCCTGCATCTCTTCCCGGCCAGGGTAATTCAGTCAGTTTCTGGATCGGAATCCATTTTTCTCCCTTTACTTGGCCTCCTCCCAAAAGAGCTACAGCAGCCATTCCCCTGTAAATATTGCATGCAGTGACTTCAGCCTGAGAGGTATTTAAAAGCCTTGAAGGGAAACGGGTCCTGTGGCGTGTGGTAATCCCAGGCTTTGAACGAAAAGAGAGTCAGCAGGTAACACAGCCCACCTGAGACCTGAGAGAAACCAGGCTCACCGGTACCAGACAGGTCCTCATTCTGGACATCTGAAGGTCAAGGACTAAGGAAATCAGCCAGGTCCCTGGCATGGCTGTGACTTTACCAGGCAGTATAGAAGGACAGGGTGTGAAGAGGTTTCCTGACAGCAGAGTGATCTTGGGGGCCGGGGTGGGGGACACATGGGGAAGCTAGATTATAAGCAGCCCTGATTTGATGAGAACAACAGAAGGCAAAATCTGCAGAAACACATTTCTCTTCATCAGAAGCAGACAGCAAGAGCCCTCTAGCACCTTTACTGGGCAGGATGTGGAGTCACATGGGACACTGTGTGCTGTCTCCGTTATAACTAGATGTCCCCCCGAAGCCTGTGATCATAGGTGGCACTTTGGGGAGGTGATTGGATCAGTGGATTAGCCACTGATGAGTTTATAGCTAAAATTGGTGTTGGTAGGTGAAGCCCGGAAGGAGATGGCTCAGTGGGGGCGTGGCCTGGGAGGGTGTATCTCCCTGCCTTGATCTCTCTGTTTCCACCATCATGCCATGCATGTGCTTCTTCCCTGCTATGCCACCCTGCCCTGGAGCCAGATGAGCATGAACCGACACCTCTGTAACCTGGAGGGCAAAATAAACCTTTCCTTCTTAGAGTTGTGGGTGTCAGCAATTGTGTCTCAGTGGTAGAGAAGTAACTAAAGTGGTCTCCCCCTCCTCTAGTTCATTATTTCTCAGCTACCACTTCTTACATTTTCCTCTACCTTCTTTTCTTTTGCTTTGCCTACTTTCTTTTCTGGTCTTGTCTCCTTCCTCTCTTGCTCTTTCTCCTCCTTCTTCCCCTTTTTCTTCTTGCTCTTTCTGACTTGTACCTTCAAGAAATGTCTCCATTTTCTTGAACGGCTTCACCTCTTCCTCCACCCCTATCTCATCCCTTTCTTTCTCTTCTCGCTTCTTCTCCTGCTTCTTCTATACCCCCTGTATGTTGCAGTCTCTGGAAAAGGCTCTAAAGAAGCTTACGGAAAGGGGAATGATTGACTGGATGAATGTTTCTTGGTTTGTTTTCATTACTAGACCCTAAAGAGAACAATAAAGTTAAATTTAAATTCTAAGGCAAGAAGAGGAGCTAAATACTAACTAATAAGATGGAATAAGATATTGTCAGGCAGAGTAGAGGTAAGAGGGCCACAGCTGGTTGTAATATTAAAGGTTTTTCACTCCTC